TGTTGCATAATTCCGTTGCACATGCGTGCGTGAACCTCAGAATGCGGAGAAAGTCAGGCGCGCAAGATTCGAAAGTGAGACCGGGCAATGTTTAACGAGCAAAATAGGCGAAAAAAATAGTTAATTGGTTTGTCAATCTCCAACTCCTACGCTATTTGGTGTTGATTGGTCTCCGTCCACGCCGTAACGTAAAGATTGAATCTAAGTAATGTGAAAAAACAAACACACTACGTAGCATAATTCTTTATAGTAAGTTTGTCGTAAATGCAACACGTTTCTATTTAAGTAAAACTCTTGAATATCTGCGGAATATTCTTGGCTGGATTTGGTTTTAAAGAATTTCCAAATACCGAGGACCAGTTTAGTTCGCTTCAGAAAATACAAACTGAAAAATGTGAATGTCCAAAACACCCGCCCACAAGTGAACTTTTTGTGGTCACTGATTATAAATTTTTCAAAATACGTGAACATTAATGTATGACCAATGCCTTACAGCAAATTTTTCTTCTAAAATCAGAACGCGATACATTTTTGAGAAATAAAATGAAGCAAGAATACATTTTGTTAATAAACAACTTAAACCGAAGTATGCACTGGATTTGGTTAAAGCCATTTTATTAGGAACCAAATGAAGAAATTAAATTAGGTTAGAAAAGTTTCATTTAGCTTTTCAGAAGAAAAAATTGCGCTGAGGTCGGTCTTAGGTAGGACCAGACTGTGCAAGTTTTTAATGAACAATATATCACGATTATAAAGTTTAGAAAACAAAATGGGTTACAAGAGAAAAGGGGACTTATATGATGCAGAAATTGTTTTCCACCAAATTTCCACACAACAAAAGTTATCCAAATAGTACTTTCGAGCACTTAGAAGATAGGTTAGTTCATAGGCTAGTATAATAATTTGATTTACATGTTTACGTAGAAATTAAAATAAAAACGAAAATTTCAGTTTTTCTGAAAAAGGAACGGCACTGGGCGCTTTCCTATTTAAATTTTTAAATTGACATAACTAGTAAGCATATAAAGTAATTTATTATAAAAAAATAGCTTTTTAAACAATTAGAGAAAAATAACCATATATCCTAACATACTAAACTGATTTGAAACAGTTTTGTATAGAGAACCAATTTCTTGATATTAAGTTAGTTTGAGATAAGTGTCAATAAAAATACTTTTTTAGTTCAAAAGTTATAAGGTCTATTTACGTTCTTTTTGTATTCCCCAACGCACGCGCTTCTGTTCTGGTTATTCTGGTTGTTCTGGTAATAAATAAGATATTCCAATATCTTATTTTGTTAATCTCCATAGTTTCCAACCAATTTAGTTTTTTGCTTTTTGATTGATTATGGAAAATATTAAAGTTATCGTCAAACTTGTGCATTTCTGAATTTAAATGAATGGCATAGTTAGAATGCGAACTTTTATTTTTATAGTCCCTTTAATGTTCGTTAATGCGTTTCTTTAATGTTCTATCTGTTTGTCCGACATAAATTGTGAGACATGATCCACATTTCAAATTGTAGACTCCGGATTGGTAAGACATTAATGTCCATGTGTTTTCGAAAATTCATAATCAATGACCACAAAAAGTTTATGTGTGTGTTTTGGACATTCACATTTTTCAGTTTGTATTTTCTAAAACGAACTAAACTGGTCCTCGGTATTTGGAAATTCTTTAAAACCAAATCCAGCCAAGAATATTCCGCAGACATGCAAAAGTTTTACTTAAATAGAAACGTGTTGCATTTACTATAAAAAATTATGCTGCGTATAAAAATAAAAGTTCGGATTTAAATTCAGAAATGTAAAAGTTTGACGATTATTTTGGTATTTGATATTTTATAATAAGCTAACAAGATATTCCAATCTATTACATATTTTGTATTTGATAAAGGCACGGTGTTGCCGAAACAGCTGTCATAAATCATTAAATAACTGTGAAAATCTGAACATTTTTTGCTCTAATTTAATTGTGTTAAACGGATTTTCATGAAATAAAAGCCACCTCAGTCTAGAACTTTTATTCAAAATATTAATGTAATAGTATATTATGCAACAAGTGCGGTAAACGGCATTTAACTGACGAGTTTATTTGACACGAGCCGAGCGAGTGTTTAATAAACGAGTGATATGAAAGGTTTACCGAACATGTTGCATACTATACTTTTTCTACCACCGTTAGTTTTTGGGTACATTTTCGCAAGACAACACATTCATCGACATGACCGTTAGAATTAACAAACGTCAAAATTCAAGACGTGGGAAATATCTCCGAAATCATCCGATTGCTCCCAAACCGGTGCCGTAAAATCCCGGAAATGTCCGAATTTTCTCGGATCCGCGGGAAATTAGATCGGTAGTTAATTAGGTATTTTACAGACGGGAGTAGAAAAAGACACTTTTAAAACGTTATGTTGTTTACTTAACGTTTACCATTGATTATTAAGTAATTTCGTTAAAAAAAAAAAATTAACAGGGGGGCGTAGAAATAGTACATTACGCAACAAGTGCAGTAAACGGCATTAGACTCACGAGTTTATTTGACACGAGCGGAGCACAGCGGAGAGAGTGTTTAATAAAGTAAGTAATATAAAGTTTACCGAACGCGTTGCATACTATATTTTTTCTACGACCGTTAGTTTTTGGGTACATTTTCGCCAAACAACGCGAATACATTCATTGACATGACCGTCAGAACTGACAAACGCCAAAATTCAAGACGTGGGAAATATCTCCGAAAACATACGATTGCTCCCAAACCCGTGCGATAAAATCCCGGAAATGTCCGAATCGGAGCTACCAAAGGCTACAGGTTCAGTCAACGAAAACGTCACGATTTAAATTTTCCAGGTGTTTGTTATTATCTAAACAATTAAAGTCTGTCAAAGTTATAATAATTTTTGTGCCGTAATATATTTACGGGCTTATAATAACAATTAACATTGGCTGGAATTCCTATTAGCGACATTTCCGGACGGCGAGCAATTTCATTCTTGATTTTTAATGTCCCGACCTTCGGGGTAATGAACCAACCGGATTTTTGAATGGCCGTTTTAATTGTAGAAGCAAAAAATAAAGAAAACGGATATTACGCAATGCAAAACGTTCAGCACGGTAGTCTATCTGCATTATTTACAAATACATTATCTCGTTGCAACATTTGAATTGGGAACAAACTCGAACCTTGAATTAAAATCACAATCCCTTGCTAGCTTATTTTTTTTTAAATTGGAAATAATTAAAATTGAAGTATTTTTAATTGAAACTTAGGGTTATATGTTTTCCCAAAAATTCGTCGTAAATTCATTCATTCTTCGTAAATATTAGAGCAGTGTATATATACGACGAATTATTTTCTTTTATTAACCATTCGCTTCATTGTGACCCCCTTGTGCCCAAGCAAATTTTTTGTATAATATAACTTAAAACACGTACCCATCCTCTGAGCAACAGTTATTAAATATTATTACAGAATTTAATGTTAAGTAAGTAATTGAGTAAAAGTAATTTTTATTATATATCTTTTAAAAAATATGCTTTCTTTAATCAAGTTTAATCATCTTTTTAACATTTATTAAGATAATAAGTGGAAATTTATAAATTTCATCAGAATTTAACATTACTTAATAGAATATAAGCGCCATAAGAAATGAAATACGAAGAATAGTAAGGAGAAAAAGAAAAATATACATATTTATTCACATTTTTTGAAGTTTTTTTTTATGCTTTACTCAATAATCCTCAAAAATTAGTCTGATGAAATGGGGTTATGAAATATTAATTGGCATGTCTCTGGAACAGAGACAATTAAAAAATTATATTTTCGTAAACAGATTCTATTCATAAATAATTGCACCTCCAGCAGAACAATGACTATTATTATTTCTTCTTAATCTGAGATACACTAACCAATACAGAAATGCGTTTGCGTAATTAAAAATAAAAAAACTATTTTTGTAACAATTATTTTTTTGACTGCGTCATTGTTTTTCTAGAGTTTCAATTTAAATTATACATCAAATGTTTTTATTTTCATTTTCATAATGGTAACAAATTTAATAGAAAAAGGTTCGGTTCAGTGTGTATTTTATATCAGTTTTAAATAATTGCCTCGGAATGTGCGCACAAGAAAATAAATTATATTTGAATCGGTTGATTAAAGACACGATCAGAAAATTTCTATCAGAATAATAAAAAAAATGGTAGTAAAGATTTAAAAACTAATCGAAATATTTAGGTAACATCCCCATAAATAGAAGGAAGAGCTGTTGCAAAATTAATTTGCGTTAGAACATCTAATTACGGTTATAACGTTATTTAAAAGCACAAAAACCGATCGCTAGAAGATAACGGCGAAGGATAATAGCCATTGCGAGAGAAAATTTCGAAACAAAAGGCTGCGTTAATTTTTGCATGGAAATTGTTGTACGCAACGCAAAACTGAAAAAAGATTCGCCGAATGGAATCTCGGGAATGCATTTCTGCAAGACAATCTTTGTAATGTTGATTTCTCGCAATGTTTTGTTTAGTTGATAATCATGTGAATTTCTAAAATGTTAAATGCTAAATTTAGCGATTAAAAGAAAATGTCTACCACAAAATTGTCGTCAGCGAGCTATCTGGATTTCTACAGTTATTCTCATCGGTGCCTACAGCGTCCATAAAAGTTAACTGCATGTTCCACTCTACTTATTTCATATTATCAAATGAGATTATTAAATATAGCCATAGCGAAATAATTTAAGAGAATTATACACACAATCCTTTTAGTTGAAATAAAAAGTTATCTTGTCGGATCAACCATTAAGAAATTCCATCGTGTAGCGGCTTACTCGTTTGTCGGTTAGAGACGGAGTCTTGCGGCATTGAAAGTAGACCATAACGATATTAAATTGTTTTTCATTTAATAAATCTTTATTTTTACCTATAAAATTTTCAAATTTTCAAATACTCATTTCAAAAAATTCAATAAACTTCTAGAAACACGTTTTGAGTAGCTTAAAGGCTATAAATCGCTTTTTGCAATTTCTTTTGCGCGTACTTCTCATAGTCGGTAGGTTCGTAAGCAAATACCTTTCCCGTTTCGTCACGAAACACCCCGACGGGATTGTTTTCGAAAAATGTCTTCACCTCGTCGATTTGCTCGAGAGGTCTACAGAATTTGCATCTACAACAGCAACAACACCAACCGTACTGACACCAAAGCGGCAGGGCTATCAACAAGTAAATAATGAACCAGATCGCTACTAGTTTCGCAAGTTTTTCCAGTAAGTTTAGCCTTTCCCGTTTATCGAAATGCGGCTTCTTCATCTCCAACCACAGACATCTTGCCGAATTTATACTCATCGATTTGAGGTCATCGGAGGTGCAATTTTTGGCACTGAAACAGATAAAATGTTCAGCTTAAGGGCTTTGAGTACGAGGTCTTTAGCCTAAATAATGTGACTGTCAACGTAGCGTTCTATCTGGCAACACTGCAGACGCGGTATAAAACAGTTTTTCTATTATGTTCTGACAATGAGTGTCATCAGTTTCCATCAATGGATTGTTATCAGGTTTTGCTTCAGAATTGGCAACAGTGCAGTAGAAACTATTGCTAAACATGCAGACAGAAATAGCGTTTTGTCAAGAGTCCAGGTTTTTAGGCAGTTTGAGGTATTTTCAGAAGGAAAAGATTCGATTGAGGACGAATGACAAACAACCGATAAAAAGGTGTACAGAATCAGGGACGTTGTGCGTTCAGATCGTCAGTTGACAGTCAGGATGATCGGGAAAGAGTTGAATTTGACTAACACCACCGTTCATCAGATTTTGACCAATTAATTATTAATTGGGGATTAGAAAAAATCTAGAACGCTTTACTAGTCTTGGATGCTTGTATGTACGATTCACAAACTAAGCGCCAGAGCATGGATTCGAATATTTTAAACTTTATGTGGTAATAGGTGTTGCATCACGATAATGTTCTTTGTAACTCAGTAATTTAAGTAAACGAGGGTTTGGCCAGAAAACAACATTTCTGTGGATCCTCAGCCTCCTTATTCTTCTGACTTGTGTGCTTGTGGCGTTTTTCTCTTCGTGAAGTTGACTGTCGAAAATATTCAAACGACTGTAACCGACCAGCTGAAAGCTATTCTACTATTGGAGTTTCAGCACTGCTACGAGAAGGGGAAAAAAAGAAGAGTGGGAAACAAATTTAAAAAACTCAATCTCATTACTACATTTTCACAGTTGTTGAGAGGACATACCTGAAATCGATTAAAGTTTTGACAGCCTCGTTTGGAGTTTCCTCTTCTTTGATCTCACTATACTTCAAAGTATCGTTCTTTTTTGCCATTTCCTTGATTTCCTGTTCGTATTCAGCTTTGAACCCTTCATAGTCGTAACTCAGGCTGTCATTGTCGTATTCCCCTCTTTTCTGCAAGCGTTTCGCGCTGAGTGTCTTATTTGATTTTGCATCGTCGTCAAGGTAGAACTCCGATTCCTCAAAAATAGCTGATGTATTTCTAACACGAGTATTAGCAAACTACAAACTTTTATCAGTTCTCCGTCTTTACCGACAAAACCAGCTACATAAGGAATTTCTTCATCCAAATGTGGGTTGAATTCTACAACATTATCGCCATACGGTTGCTTGTCAAACGTTGCTCGTTTGAATTGCTCGTTGTATTTTCCCGCTTGAGCGTGCAGCATGTAATATTTATCGGGGTGATTTTCCTGGTCTGTTTTTAACTTGAAATAGTCTTCCTTGATCAGTTCCTCTTCGTCGTATACGTCTTGGACATCCGATCGGTCAAGGAGCTCGGATATAACAAACTCTTCGTCCTGCTGCAAGTTTACTTCATGAGGCGGCAGCCAAATTCCTGATCCCAATGGAACGCAAAGTACTTGCAAAAGCAGAGCAGTCATCGGAATGTTATGTATTATATTTGTTGTCATTTTTGAAGGAACGACATTTCAACTTGATGTGTTATGTAATAGTACTCGTATTTTCTGTTATATATATGTTCGAAACGCTGCGGAACAACTTTATCTGATCACGGTGTATTGTCTAAGAGGCTGTCGACTCTAGAGTAACCTTTTTTATTGTAGGTTTTATATACATAAATATTACGTTCGTTCGGATAAAAGGAGACCGCGATGCTTGGCGGCTAACTAACCAAGTTGAAGGTCAGGCGACTTAAGTGGTAGGCAAACCTTAAAACGCTTCTTTGCCAACTCGTCTGTTAAAAGTGGGTGGATGCTGCCTCGATTCGTGACCCCCGTGACTTCGATTCGTTCATGTAGGTTGGGAAAATGAATGATTCAGTGAAAGACTTTCTTGCCGGAGCACGAGCCGCGTTTAACAACGTTAATGTGTTAAGCAAATTTCGTTAAGATAATTCGAGACTATCGTGAGAAAAGAGGCTATTTTTTCTTGTTGTGATCTTAACAAACTCCGAAGTGAATTAATTTTCTAAAATAATATACAACGTTTTCTTTTATTTTAAAATGAAACGAAAATAATTTTATCTTATTTAGATGTAGATGATTTGTTTTAAACTTTTATATTATATTCACATTTTATACAGAACATATTTTAAAAAAAGGTCCGCTTACTCGAACATTACAATATAGTTTTCAAATTTCCAAATTGCCTTTCTTGGTTAGTTTTTAAATAATTATTTGAACTTACAGTGTAATTCTTATCTCAACTCTATGTACAATGTTGTACAACTGAAGAGCTTGGGGAGAACTATATTGCTGAGTTAATAATATAATATTAATAATAATATATACTTTATTCAGGTAATTTCGACAAAGAAAATTACAAGAAAAGGCAAGAGTGCAGCGTCCACAAGTACCTGCTTGTTGATTTCTACACTTATCCTTACACATAACATCACACCATGGTTTTAATTAATATTTACAAATTCGTTAAACACCCACTCAATTATATAACAGAAAGAAAAACCTAAACCTACCTCTGTAAATAAAAAAGCTATTAGCTAAAGTCGAGGCTAAAGTACTGGTACAACGTCCGCCCATCGATGATCTGCTCTGGCTCCAAACATCCAGGTATGAACGAACTCCATACTCGCTTATTTCGAATAAATTTAAATTTATGTCCCAAAAACAGATTAAGTTATCAGTTTGTGGAAGAAGGTCTAGACATATACTTTTCAAATCATTAACAAATATATTTGGACTAAAATTTGGGGGCCTATAGACACACCCAATGGTTAAATTTTTTGATTTATTTAGTTTTATTTTTACCCAGAGACATTCAATCACGTCATGGTATGAGTCTAAAGTTTCATATTTTATAGTTTTTTTAATATAAAGACTTACCCCGCCACGATCGCGACCTACCCTATCCCATCTGTAGAAATAGTAATTTGGAATTTCAACTATATAAGTAGGTATGTGTGGTTTTAAATTGGTTTCAAATACTCCCACTACATCGTAATCCTCTTCCAGGATAAGGTCCCTAAACTTGCCAAAATGTAAGGGTACGGAAGCTGGGAGACTCTCAAAATGTCGAGCATCGGGGTGCTTATTATTATAGAGGGAAATAAAGTTTCTAAACAAGTAGCAACAAAAAAGAACGTATAGGAATCACTGATCGATGTTTTAGGACTGTAAATAAATCTGAGTTCTTACCGCTTTTTACAAAACTTCTGGATTCCTCGTGCGTCGGATTTTGCCTAGAAATTGCTGACGTTTCGCCAATCATCCTGTTGGCTTCTTCAGAGCTTGACTGAAACTGGCTCTGAAGAAGCCAACAGGATGATTGGCGAAACGTCAGCAATTTCGACTAAGCAAAGACCGACGCAGGAGGAATCCAGAAGTTTTGTAAAAAGCATTATACTAGCCTGTGGAAGATTCTTTGAAAAACTGAGTTTTTATCGTCAACTTCGTAGCTTCTTCGATTTTTTGAGTTTCCTGAGGCTTTTTCCTCCCCCAGTTCTTTTGCTGTAGACATGCTTTCGGCAACAACCAGCTTAAATCGTGTTCTCGTGATTCTCCTATTCTCCTATCTTCAAGTTGTCTCACTTTCTCTTTAAACTTTGCCGCCCCGTCATTTACTCATAGTCATTTATTGAACTTAATTAATTTATTCTTTTAAAACTCCTAGTGAGACGAAGACCTATAAATCTCGTATGCCATGCGAACATTTAAAATATGTTTACGGAAAAGTACCTTCAAAAATAAATTCTGGAAAACACACTTTCCAGGTCTACGTTTGTGAATGGCGCAAATTACGCAACTAAATTGATCATAATTAATACTAATTATAATAATAATAATCTTGGCAGTATGGTTTAATTGATTTCATCGGTGTCGTCTTGTGTCCATTTCGTTGAACTATTTTCGATAAACAATCACAATTACAAGAAACTATATTTCCATATTCACATTAAGAATATATTCGTATTCCTAAACTATAGAGTCAATGTAGAATGTGATAAAAATTCTAAATAAAATTGCAATTTAAAGAGGTAGTTGCAAAACTCTAGACAGGGATAATTACTCTAAAAACAATTAACTTTAGAAGAACTTCTTCTATAACAGGACCATGTGCTGTATATAGCTAATGCTCTTCAACTTCAGTTTTCCAACGCCGAGTGCAAAATTTTAACGCTTATAATGTTTTGCGTTATCATCTTATCCGCGCGGGAATCTAGAACTGCAGGAAGTTAAAGGATTAATAAATATCCACGCACACGTCATTATCTACCGCGTTGTAGAAAGCGCAAGGCCATGGACGTTCGTTAACCCACCCACCCAGGAGGCGTAACACCTGGTGGATTGATGGTTGTGTGTTGATGGCGGTCATAATGCTGTTGGTTTACTCGTCAGCGAACGTAATTTTAAGCTGTTCAATTTGTGTAAACACCACTTACCTTAGATTATTAAACGAGATAACGCGTAACAAAATGCGAGGATATTCTACGAAATGGTGTGTCTTGTATATGTTTATAACAGTGCAGACTGACTTACTTATTTTTTAATTTATGAGTTATATAATCACGTTTCTTGTGGGTCTGTCATTCACAGAAATTATATAAAGTTTTAATCGCAATTGTAGTGGCGTCTGAGTGAAACTTCTTCAATAAACATAAACCAGCTCGTAGCATATGTTTATTTATTTGAGCGTTTATACTAGGGCTCGCGTCTTAGAGACCTACTGCATGGAATGCTACAAGAAAAATTAGTATTTTGCTCCTACTTCTGTAAATAAATTTATTACTTCAGAAAAATGTTCGAAATTTAATTTTAATGTGGAACATGCTTAATATTAATGACCTCTTTCGTGCGTTCTCTTTATTGACCAGCGATATAAAATGTTATAATCCCGCAAGATGCAGGCGAGCGCATTATACTAATTTCCGGCAATTTGACGTGATTACGCCATATTATGATCATTCATAGTTATGAAACAATAGGGCAAGTCGTTAAAATTAAATTGCATAAATGGCATTTTGCGTACATGGTACTTCGAGTCCTTTATATGACAATCAAATTCGCAACGCACTCCACCTTCCATTTTCCTTTTTTTTAAGCGTTTCTAAGCAACTAGTGTTTGAAAGTTCGGGGTAGCGCAGCTTTTTCCTCGCCACAAAACGCCACCACTGGAGTTCCACGAGGTTTAATTCTGGGACCAGTGCTATTTTTAATATATACGGCAGAATGCATTACAGAGAGGCCTAAACACTAAACTGGTGTTCGATCTCGTTACTCCCGCTGAATGCACAGAAGTGCCCCGTAATAATAATCTTGGCATGGTCCATTATATTGAGGGAAATCTTGTGTCTAGTTCTCATATGAACATAGGCGTTACTGTAACAAATGATTTAACGCAGTAAGTTCCACTCACTCCCTGAAATGCAAAACAACTATAATCACTACTTTGGTCACATATTTCACCTAATTCTCCTTTAAAACTGGCTATTGATGTTTTTCTATCATTCCATATATGTGCTGTTAATCCTTTTCGTATTTCGTAATTATACTTTATAAATTTTATTGCAGTAGAATAGGTGGACTCTGCAACTTCTTGCCAACATTAGGTCAACATCAGGTACAAGGAGATTATATACAAATGACCAGTTACCGTTTATTAGTTACGCATGATCAGTTTCCGTTTAATCCGCCTTATGTGAATTTGGTGACGTTAAGTAATGGTAAATGCCTGTGTGATCATCAATTAAAGATAAGGAAAGAACAATTCGCATAGGTCACATTTCATAAGTTATAGGGCATTTGACCATTGGAAGAGTTTACCTACATATATTGCGTTTGCAGCAAACTTGGTTATGTTGTGTTCACTAACAGAAAAAACTGTATTTGTGGAGGACATTATTTGTAGCTTTCATTTCTTTTTATTATGTTCGGTGTATATTCTCAGCTTTGCATATACTTTCCATATTATTCCGTATACCTAATAATTAGAATTATAATAACAATAATATTATTAATAATGAACGGGATTTGTTGTACCATATATTACTTTCGAGGGATCTGGAATCTCAGCTTCCCGGGTAAATTTTCTGTGTTACTGTGACAACACCACTGGGGCGCTGTTAAATCGTTAAAGTAACAACCTTTCTTTCGATAAATGGCTCGTGACTTTGGCACAGAAACGCACACCATGATTGTAGAGAAACGGTTTGCGTGAATTACCGATATTTCTCGACTTGTACTGTACTTATTCTAAATTTGTAGTGTCACGAAGAAATGCTAAACAGGAAAAGTTTGTAATGGTTTTAAGCAACGTATAAATAATTAAATATTTAACGATATTTGTTTTCAGATAGTCACGTATTTTATTGATTTCG